AAATGCATGACTGAATATAATAACAGTATATAGTATAATAGCAGATTCACGATTGCTAACAACTTTAATAATTTAATCAAAATGAATATTTAGTCATTACTAAGGAAGTGGATAATTGTGTTCAAGAGAAAATAAGTATTAATTCCTTCCGTAAATTTTGTCAGCAGCTTTCATGCATCTAATTCAAGTTGACTAGCTTTGTTTGTATTACCTTCTAGAAAAAATGTGAATACTCCATGGCGCCAAGTTCGTTTTTTTTAATTCAAGCCCTAATGAATGATAGGTACAATTCTATCAGTTTTCCGCGACAAGGCGAGCTTTGCTTTTTTATTGTTTAACTCTAACAAACTTAAGTTACACGTCAAGTGTGATTATGAACGAAACTAAGAACTTCAATTTTCTGATGTTCAACCTATTTGGCTTTTTAATGTGGTGAATACAGAGACCAAAGATTCTTTGTACTCGAATACCTAATATAGAAAATATATAATTAATTTTATATTATTAAATGTAACAGAAGTCTGAAAATTTTAATGCAATTATCTACTTTATGCCTAGAAGCTACGTTCACTATTTATCTTATTATTCCCTATTGTGTTTTTATTAGGCATATTTCCTTTATACCTGATTAAAATAAATAATTGAAGTATAAGTTGAAGGCGCTAGTAAATAAATAGATACAAATTGCTTTTGCCATCGGGCGCCATTTAGTAATACCAAACTTAAATTAGATGAAATAAGATATACGGTATGGACAAAAGGTAAATCAAGATTGCCAAGTAAATTCTAAGTGTAATTTGCTGTTATTGCAATAAATAAATAAAGGCGGGAAGTTCAGAGGGCGGACATATTCACATTTTACAGACGAATGGACAACTCATAATTTACTTACGCCCACGAAATTAACAAAAGTACAAGTACAGACATTTCATGACTATATCAACTCGACCGATACCCAGAGCGAGAAGTGAGACGTGCTGCACGAACACGATTCGCGAGGGGCGCTTTCTATCTCTTGCAACAGATCTATGCGCATTTGCAGGCTGCTTTTCCTAATATTTGTATTGCCCTGCAAATTTACTCTACGCTTCCTACTACATCCGCAAGCTATGTGAAGCCGTGCGAAGTTTTAGCAAATCATAACTAATTTAAAATTATTTGCTATCTCTATGAGTCAGGAATGCTTATCTTAGCGATAGATAAAATCGAATTGCTCATGAGTTTTTCTAGTATATGTATAGTATATTGAAGTATATGTAGTTGATTATACATGTTTTAAATCCTACCCTGTGCTGTGTTTAAAATATATATGCTTCACGTTTATGTCTATATATCTGTAAATAAGTTGGCTTAATACATACGGAAAAAAGAACACAGAAAAGAAAAAAGAACGTTTATAGCTTGAAATAAATAAATAGTAACGTGGGGCTTCGAATGCCAAAGTGGAAAAATTACATTGTCAAATAGTAAATTTGTTTAATAATTTCTTGTATTTACGCGATTACACATTATAAATGAAACTAATTTTACGGATTTATCGCGTTTATTTTTAATTTAAGTTCCCGACGTTTCGAACCCTTTACAGCGTTCATGGTCACGGGACAGACTGAGGTGTTAGACGTCTGATTGTCAAAGTTATCCCGGGCTACCGTCAGTTTTTGTATTATTGATTTTGTGTCCGATCTATGCAGGGGGAGCTAATTGTATCTTGTCTTGCAGTAGTGGTTCTTTTGGGCTTAGATTTAATTTTATTGATGATAGGATCCCAAGCTGATGGTAGTACCCAACCCTCTTCTCTATTGAAATTAGGGTGTTTTTTAATTTCAATAGCCTCGCGAATCATCCTTGGGAGGAATCGGTGTTCTTTTGCAAGGATCTGTGGTCTATCAAACCTGATGTAGTGGTTGGGCCGATTTAGAGTGTGCTCACAAACTGCAGACTTGTTTAATCTACTATGTTTTATGTCAGCTATATGTTCTTTCACGCGGGTTTTTATAGCTCTTTTTAACCACTAAAACGCTTAAATTAACTAGCGATCTCATTAAAAAATACTCCGAAAAATTAAATCTAGACGTGAAATCGATGACACCTTCATGTGCAAAACCCCCTAAATTGTATGGGTTGCCTAAAATACACAAACCAGACTTGCCATTACGCCCTATTGTAAGCCAGATCGACTCACCAACTTACAGACTGGCTCAACATCTAGTACAAACTCTCTCATCGCTGAGAGGACACACACGGGCATACACAAAGGATTCGTACCATTTTGTTAGTGAGATAAAACAACTATGTCTTGCTGACAATGAAACAATGGTCAGTTTTGATGTACAGTCTTTATTTACATGCCTACCATTAGAAGACTGCATCTCAATTGTAACAAGGAAGTTAAAAGAGAATAACATGCCGGAAGAGTATGCATTACTACTTAAACATTGCCTAACATCCGGCTATTTGCTTTGGAAGGAGGAATTTTACATACAGATAGATGGTGTAGCAATGGGCTGCCCAGTATCTCCCATTGCCGCTGACATATTTATGGAAGACTTTGAGGAGAAGGCCCTTCGCACAGCTCCCATTTATCCAAGGTTTTATAAGAGGTATGTAGATGACACCTTCACCATTTTACCAACAAGTAAAGTTAATGCATTTTTAAATCACCTTAACTCAGTAAATTCCAAAATACAATTCACTATGGAATTAGAGAATAATAACTCTTTAGCTTTCTTAGATGTTTTGGTCATCCGCAATCCAAATAACACTATAAGTCACACTGTGTATAGGAAGGCAACCCATACAAATAGATACCTAAACGGTGTCTCTCACCACCATCCATCCCAGTTAGCTACCGTGGGTAAATCTTTGTTTCAGAGAGCACAAGGGATCTGTGACAAACAACACCTGGCCGCTGAGCTTCAACATGTCAAGCAAGTTCTGCATGACAACAAACTTCGAGCACCGCGCCTACGTCACAGTGATCGAGTGAAACCAGCCACAGTGGAGCGAGTACCTGCTGTTCTACTATATGTCAGAGGAGTCACCGACAAGATTGGCCATATCTTAAAGCGGGCTTCAATTAATACATTCTACAAGCCGCTGAAGAAGATTAGTCAGTTTTTACCATCTGTCAAGTGTAATATCCCTCTGCAAGATCCAGGAGTGTAAAAACTTGACTGTGAATGTGGGCTCTCTTACATAGGACAAACCAAAAGAGCTATAAAAACCCGCGTGAAAGAACATATAGCTGACATAAAACATAGTAGATTAAACAAGTCTGCAGTTTGTGAGCACACTCTAAATCGGCCCAACCACTACATCAGGTTTGATAGACCACAGATCCTTGCAAAAGAACACCGATTCCTCCCAAGGATGATTCGCGAGGCTATTGAAATTTTAAAAACACCCTAATTTCAATAGAGAAGAGGGTTGGGTACTATCATCAGCTTGGGATCCTATCATCAATAAAATTAAATCTAAGCCCAAAAGAACCACTACTGCAAGACAAGATACAATTAGCTCCCCTTGCATAGTTCGGACACAAAATCAATAATACAAAAACTGACGGTAGCCCGGGATAACTTTGACAATCAGACGTCTAACACCTCAGTCCGTCCCGTGACCGTGAACGCTGTAAAGGGTTCGAAACGTCGGGAACTTAAATTAAAAATAAACGCGATAAATCCGTAAAATTAGTTTCATTTATAGTAAATTTGTTATTTTTGTAAAAGTAACAGTTATAAAATGTAAGATTAACACCCAGTTTCCGAAAGCGCAATCAATTTTAATTTACGATAAATCTCTTGTCAATCGCTGTTTAATATGATCTGAGTTGCTAGAACGTCTTAAACAATATTGATTTTGATTTGCAATTAGTCACTGATTAACGGATAATCAACAGAAAATCGAGTTTCTAAAAGCGTTTTTCGGTGGTCAAAGAGCTGTCAAAAGTTTTATTAAGTAATCTGTCAATTTGGACGATCAATCGTTGGTTTAAAATGTTATTTATCAAAAATCTTAGTTTTTATTAAAAATAAACATAATTCCCTAATACGTTGTTAGGACATTCATGTGTTCTATTACCTATTTATTATTTCTTATTATGCGAACATATCATGTGATTAGAAAAAATACAAAATGCAATTCAAAAGTTAATAAAAAATATGGATTCTTTCTTTTTATAATACTTACTTGTTTATTATTGATAAAAGTTCATTTTTTTCACGTTCTGTAAAGTTTTTTTTTTGACATTTTGCATGTATTAATATAAATTAAATTTTATTATAGCTCGGATTTTTACGTTGGCAATCACACGGTGACAGGACTGGATAGTGACGTTAATTTAAGTTTTGTTTAAAAAGGGACAGCTATACAATAGAAAGAGTTAGTTGAAGTAAATCATTCATTTCATTCATTATCATTGGTTATACAGTGTTTAGCTAATTTTTCTTGAACAAACCTTCCAGAAACCCAAGGCAGTTTAACAAGAGATTAACAGCTGATCATTTTTGACATAGTGTTATGTGATTGCTGCTTTGATTGGCCTTTCGGAAACCGGGCATTAGAGTTTAAACTGTCAGATTTACAGAATTTGTCAATTTTAATATTTGAAACTGTAATTTTTCAACTTTTGCTGGAATCGCCACATTACGCTTCATACTATAAAAGTTACTGCACAAAGTACTGCACGGAAAAACGAAAATGTTTTTCCGTGCAGAAAAAACAGCGATGGATGCATTACTTCCGGAAGGTCTATGTAGGCTTTTGTCCAAATGTCAATCTATTAGTAAACATCTGATAGCTGAAATTATATAGATAATGGTGGTAGGCATTTAGCTATTCGTCCAGAATGTCTGCAAAATATTCAGCAGCCTAACTTTACTTATGGGATGTAAAATGCTTAAATCTTTTGTTAATTTGTGGACAAGAATAAAATTCATATGGCTTTAATGTAAGATTTATTATCAAACAAGAACACATTAAGACTGACTCGTATTTTTTTATATAACCTGGTCATGCGATCTCTTCGTGCCCGGATAGCCTGTATTCAGAGATTTCCGGTATGAATCTATTATCGGTAGACACCAAAATATAACTGAAAAGCAAAACTCCTTTGTATAACTGTGGATGAAATGAAATTATGATATTACGTGTATAAGTTTATGTGTAATGTATTATTTTATTGACGTGATATTGTTCGATTCTGCAATTCGAGATGATCTCAGTCGATCATGTTTTTACATTTTTATAGGTACATGAGAAGAGGACAAGCGGGGTGGCGGTGCAAATGATGTTTAATGGTTACCGCCGTCCATGAAAATCGCCGCCATTTTATTTTTAAATAGGTCACATTTTCGAACTGACATGTTCTAAACAGCTTACAATAAAAAATAAATAAAAAGCCAATAACGTAATTCGAAAATGGAGCTCTCTGGGAACATGTTACTTTTTACCGTGGTAGGGCCACGCAACAGTCTTCGCTGTTGCAATAATGGACAGGTGCGACCGTCTTTACCATAAAGGATCACGGGGCCCGTGCCCAGGGCCCTATCGTCATGTGCCCTAGCTTGAACTACAGAAATTTTTCTCTATTTTTGGTAGATATATTCCGACAGAAGTTTATAGAATAAATTAAAAACATCGGAATAGCAGAAAAATGTTTTTGTCATTCACTTTTTTTACTTACCATCGGGGTCCAAATTTTTGTGGTTGTGTGCCCTAGGGCCCCGAAATGGCATCGTGGAAGTGTTATAATTCTGCGTTTCGTCTGGTGAGTGAGATGACCGAGGCCCTCTAATTAAAAGGCGGCAATGCATTTACAATCGTAGGGGTGTTCCAAATGTCTATGGACGATGGTATTCACTTAACATCAGGTCAACCGCCTGCTGGCTTGACAAATTTCCGTATAAAAAAAGGTAACATCGTAGGATAAACCTTCGCGTCGGCATCTCGCATTGAACTATCAGACATTACATATTGCCACTTCTGCTTGTTTCTTGGACATCCATGCGCGTATATCGCCAAACTGGTCGATATGTATGCGTGTTTTCTCCCACAAACGTACCGAATAAATACATGACGTCCGCCGCGAAGGTCATGAACGTCCACATTTGTTCGCGTCTAATATGGCACAAGAACTCGACGATTGTCACAACGAATCCAAACACGACGAAACTGAGGGTGTACCAAATGTAAAGCTGCATCATGTTTGCGTTCTCCTGCGTGGGAAAGATAATTCTTATTATATATTAAATGAAACAAGTTTACAGAATGAACAAAGTTTATGAATTTTATCGCTTTTTTATTTTGATTTGAAATTCCCTTTCCTGCGTTCATGGTCACGGGATAAACGCGATAACATCCGTATACTAGTTCCATTTAATATGTTTAATATTCGCGTAAAATCAAGAAGTCAATATAATTCTTATTAGTTATATGTTTAATATCTGAACGGTGGTAGGACCATGCAACAGTCTCCGCTGTTGCACGAATGGGCAGGTCCATCCGTGTAAGTACCAGGACCTCACAGAAGACCGGCGTGATATGGAAGTGTTATAGGTACTTCTGCGTTTCGTTGCCGGGGCCCATTTTATTAAAAGATGGCAAAGCAAGCTTACGGCTGTTGCAAATGTCCATGGACGGTGGTTGAACCGCCAGCACGCTTGTCATCTTCTCAAATAAAAAATATCAGTAAAAGTAACAAAAAGGTATTTACAGGAAACAAGAAACAATAGATGTTAGTAACGACTACTTGAAAAATAATCTGCAATTTAATAAACGATTCTCATATTATTCTACTTGGGCAACTACAAGTTACGCAGCAGCTTTTGCTGATGAACGACAGGGAGAGCTAGTGAGCAGTTTTAATATTGTAGTTTACTTTTTCAAGTAACTTCATGTATATAAGTACTTACTTATTTGTTACAGCATGCAAGTTCGCTATATTAAGACAGGCAAAAGTTGCAAAGCAAATATAGTATAAGTAAGTCGTTTTTTTTTTATTGGCTCAAAGTGATTCGAAGTGAACTGAAGAAAATATTCACTAGGTTAAATTAAAAAATTACATTTGATTAGCGAACAAATATAAAAATAATAGCATTTTTATAAACAAAAAACAAAACAACTTCAAATGCCTCACGTTCTCTCCAGCATTAACGGAGTTTAAAGTAAAATACCAAAAAAATTAATATGGTCCGATAGGAGTACACAAGGGGCCATAGTCCATAAGGGAGCTAACTCAATGCAATTTTTTCAGTCCGTTTATAAACGACGGAGCTCCGAGATAATAAACATAAAAAAACTGGCCAAGTGCTGACGCCAGAATCGTTCCGTACCATAGATATAATAATATCTCTAAAAAACGGCAAAAATTCATGTCTGTTGTATAAGAGCCCCATTTAAATATTTTTTAATTGTTTTTTAGTATTTGTTGTTATAGCGGCAACAGAAATAGATCATCTTTGTAAAGAACTGTCTAACTATCACGGTTCATGAGATACAGCCTGGTGACAGACAGACAGCGGAGTCTTAGTAATAGGGTCCCGTTTTACTCTTTGGGTACGGAATCTTAAAGATACAACCGAATGACCGCCTCCTTTTGAAGTCGGTAGAAAAATGAAAATTAGTTAGACGCGAGTATCGGAGAGCTTACAAAGAGACAGCCCAACAGCAGCACCAAATTGGCAACTTGGAACAACTTGAGGAGCAGTGCGCGCATGCATTTCACGTTGTCCTGCACCAAGCACAACTTTCTCGGCGACCTGCACACGCATCGCTCGTCTGGGTCATCGTCCTCGCAGTCGGTGAAGAAGTCGGCCAAGCTTGCCGCCTGTCAATACACCAAGAGAAACTACTGAATTTCAATTATTTCTTCTATTGCTAAGTGTCTTACACTTGGACTTATTTAAAATATGATAAATATTGTGATATCTTGTATTTTCTTGCCATGCTGTATAAAATACATCCATTTTATTTAATATCCGTGATTGTCCGGGCGCTCGCCTTTAATTCGATATACTTGAGCAACCGGCACCAATGAAATTGTTAATTTTAAGCGCTAAGAAAAAAATTATTTCGAAGATATGAGAAGTCCGCCAATGGAGCCACGTGGTGGACGCCCTAATACCTTCTGTGTCCAGCAGTTACCAGCATTTATAGGCTGCTTTACTTTTTTATTTAATAAAATGATCTGCTGAGGTCTGCTGTTGTGCGCGCATCCCGAAAATAATACTCTATAGATTTCAATTAATTCTTCTAGGATTCTTAATAATTTCTCAGACACTTGGGCCTTATCTAAAAATAATAGGTATTGTGATATATTCATATACCTACATATCATCCTCATAATGTGAAGTTATAAGCACTACGTGATGTGTGTTTTCTTGCCGTGGAGAATAGGGACAAGTGGTTTTGCTATATAATAAGCAAAGCAGGCAAGTCGCGGATATCAGCTAGTATTATATAATGTGTTGTAAAGTAAAAGGTTTATCACAAAAGAGTGCCTTGTACATTTTTATGCTGTATATTTCAGTCTTTAGGTCAGTAGGAACAATGAATATTATATATTATAGTGTCTTCGTAATTGTGTTTAATATTTCTTAGACATTTAAGTCAGTCGTATTTACCGTCATTTTTCGACTTAACCTCAGCGACATCCTCCGGATATGTAGATAGTAAAATATAATCATCTTTTTTATTTTCCTTGATGTTTTATACATAAAAAAACATGCGTTAACAATATGGTAAATATTTTCAATGGCAAATAACAATTAGTATTTTTAGATTCAAATAAAAAGGTAAAAAATGAAATTGATTATACAGATCCAAAAGCGAACACGGAGGCAGAGTTACCACGACCCGCCAAACACAGCCGCATTGCAAAGTAAAAATTCAGAATTTCATCTTCTTTCACCTGCCTTTATCCCACACAGGTGGGGTCGGAACAACATGTCCATTCCTTCCACTTACCTCTATCAGCCGTCAATACTGACCCCTTTTCACGGACATTTCTTTCACACAGCCCATCCAAGTTTTCCTCTAGTTTTGCATCCTCCAACCACATTCACATTCATCACTCCATGCTACCTACCACTCATTTTCTCAGTTACTGGTGTCACTTTCTAGCTTTCCCTTATATACTCATTTCGTATCTTATCCTTTCTGATTACACCACGTGTCCATCTCAACATTCGAATATCAGAAATTACTAAATATCGACGGCTCTGGCTCAACAACAGTTTCTCTTGACACATACCAAGCTTATCACAGAAATTATCGCCACCGTAGTCCTTGGCGACATGTTCCTGTTCAAATGGTCGGCCAAAAACTGCTTCACCGTGTTCATTCTGTTGCTGATCATCACTACTTTTACAATTTAACAAACATGACGTGGACCATTACGCTACATGACAAGTTGTCATTTCGCATTTGTTCTTTATTTCAACATCTTCGTTCTTCGGTTTGGTGACAGCATTACTTACGACATTAAACACGCGAGAGGCTGAGAATGGTGTTTCTTTTTGAAAGAAATTTTTATTTCATTTTTATTATGTTCTTGGTTGCATTTGAAACAAATATAATATAGCTATTATATTCTTACTCCGCAAGAGCTTCAGCTTCTGTTGCATTAATGGTCAATTTGCTCAGGTAAGTAACATAGCCTCATATCATACCGGTTAGAAAGTGTTTGTTGTTGCAAAGCGTCGCAAATGAAAGTCGTCAGCAATAACATAACATTAGGGTGATCCACCGGCTCATTTGTTAATATTGTCTTAAAAAAAAACTAACATTAGACCGAAAACTAGCATTAACTTTAGAAGCATATTTTCAAGGAAATATCTGTTTCTAGTAATATTTTATAACTGGCAATTAATATTATTAGTTTTAACCTTCATGGTTTTAGATGAATAAACTTATTTTTAACAACGACCGAAGAATAAAAAAGGTTAATGTACTCTCATAATTTCATCTGGTTGTCATTTATGTTTGCAGGAGTTAAATTTCGTAAAACACGGGGAATCTAACAAACATGATCAAATATTACATTGTTTTCTGTCTCTTTGTATTATGTATCGAGTTCTGCTTCACTGATGTCATTGAAGGTAAATAATAGATTTTAAATTAAATAACTTACACTTAACAAAATATTAACTTACACTGTTAATATTTTGGATCTATTGTGAATGATGGATGCATTGTTGACTTAACAACTACGTTATTAAAATATAGTGGGCTACAGGATACATAATGAATTCTTAATCGTCAATCAATACATATGCCTGCTTAGCAATTTTTCAAGACAAATGATTAATATTTCTGCTTGTGAACACACTGAGGGTCATTTTATGGTCAGCGTATTTACTCTTAACACGTTCCAGATCCAAGCGTCAAGACGGACGTGTTAAGTGAGAAGCAAATGGAAGAGTACTCACAAAACGACGTCGTGAATTTCATCGAGATGTTCGAGGAGGTTGCGCTGCGGGCGCGCAAGTCTCTCGAAGAAGATTTGCTGCCTCTAGAGGATTCCCTACTACTGTACGACGAAATGACCGCGATCGCGCAAGACATCATCGATCTGAACGTAAACCCGAACAACGTCTACAAGTTCTTGTACGCCAAAGGCCTGGACAGGGTCGTTGCGCCGAATCTGAAAATATCCCACGTTCCCCTCCGACGTCAACTGTTGATACTAACCAAGCAGTTGTTCGACATCGCGCCCAGCACCGTTAAGAATCTCATCCCGGTGGCCATACTCGACGGCCTTCTAGAAATATTCGAGAGCGACGGCAACCTGCCCGTGAAGGCTTACGCTCTAGACGTGCTCAACCTATGGCTGCCTGGTAGCCCGAGGATGCAGGCGCGCGTGATGAAGCTCAAAGGCCTGGAGCCCTTCTACCATCAGATCGCTAAATTGGACGTGGCGGTCGTCCAAACGCTGCTCGAGCTCTTCAACGAGATCCTGGACGAGCACATCAGGGCCAGGGTCGAGGGTAGTTTAAAGAAGAATGGGAACCTCGAGGACTTGGCGCTGTACCAGAGGATTGGTCTCTTGGAGCGCATGTCCACGTCTCAAGTGTGCAACGGCCTGCTGAATGTGTTCGAAACCTCGCTGCCCGTCATAACGGCGAGTGGTAGAATTATGCCGTCGATGTTCGAACTCATAACGAAGATAGAGCCCTTCTGCCTGAAGAGGTACAGGGGAAAATCCAAACCGAACAAAGTGTTCAACGAGCTGCTACAGATACTCGAGGATCCAAAGCGCGAAGTGGAATTTGGAGAGCGTGGTGTCAACGTAACGCAAATTCGAAGTGTCCTAGAGAAGTACGTTCGTGAATTGAACCAAAACATTGTCAAAGACGAATTGTAGGCCCTAATCTGTTGCTCAAAGTAAATTTTTTGACTCCGCATTTTTATTTCCATTAACCACTGGTCTGAAAATATTGAACTAAACAAGTAAATAGCGAGTGACTGTTAGTTAAAGAAATATATTCTACTTATATACAAAAGCCATTTAATAAAATTGAACGTATTGATTTTAAAGTATAACTAAAATATTATTTATGAATTCTGTTTTAAAAAAAAATAAGTGGTATTTTCTGTTATCGGTATAGGGCACGGTTTTTATAAAATAGTTTGATTTTTCTTCATTATATACATTTTTTAATTAATTAATAAAAACTTCTTATTTTAGTGAATACGCTAGGAAGTTTTATTCCTAGCAAGAAAATTTTGAGCTGTGGGTGATAGTTCCTTTAATTTTACTTTTAGTGCTAGACACTCAAGATAACTAAATTAAAGTAACAAAAACCAAATGTAACGGGAATAAGAATAACGAACAACTGCAAAGAACTCAGCTATAGACAAAGGCATGGAAATAGACTGTAATTTGGCAGAAACCTAATATTTGGCCTTTGCGCACTGCCTTCTGCTTAATCTCACAGCCATTATTAAATTTGCAGTGATATGAACTGAAACACTAAGGACAATCCCAAATTTTAAATCGACAATCGGCTTAATATATTTTTAAAATCACTTTTTTATATCTACACATTTCAATTATCACAGACATCAGAATCAATCCATTTTGGAAAACCATTTTAAATTCCCCAATACTTTTCTTGCGATGAAATATCATTAATTCATAAAATCTATTGTCGCACGTTTCAAATAATAGCAACATTGTGCGGTCTGGAATCGACCACAGACAATGGCGGGTCATTGTGCAATTTGATCGGGTGTCGTAGGGTTCTTCAATACAATTATGCCCCTTATGTATCCGATGCGATTGTTACATTGATTTATTATAATGCAACGGTGACTGGTTCTTGGTTTAATATATATTACTTTCTCACATTTTAATTGGCAATATAGCTTGAGCAATAAAACATGAAATGGAACTAAACGGATGAGAGTCACGTTTGATTCTTTTTTTTTATGTGAAAGGTGGAAAACGAGCAGGCGTTTCACATGATGTTAAGTGATAACCGCCGCCCATTGACATTTGCAACATCCTTAGGGTTGCAGATGCGTTGCTACCTTTTAATAAATTCAAATTTTCATCAAAAAAGAATTAATAATATTATTTTAAATGGAGTGGTTAGATCGGATTAAATAACAAAGATGGAAAGACGTTTAGCTGTGACAGACATTAGGGCGTAAAGTAATTAATTCGGTCCCGCAATCATGGACGCTAGACGATGGTAGAGTCCTCAACTTCGGGAATTAAAAAAAAGCAATAAAAACCTTGAAATAGATATAGAAAGATATTAAAGAAACGTCACAATTTAACTATCTCATTTATCTGTTTTAATTCGTAGTGATATCCGTTACTGGTACCTGTCCCACCAGTACCACCATATTTTCGTCCTATATACCGAGCGCTATTTTCCATTTTCTAATACTTTCTCTTTGCTAAATATTGTTATCTAATATATAATCTTTTTTTATTATAAATGTAACGGTTAGTATATAAGTACGTAACGTACGGCAACTATCATGATTAATAAAGTACATTGCACTTGATAATTCAGTGTTCGGCGCTCATTTTAATTTAGTATACTCGTGCAAAGAGTTCTCATCCAGGTGGCTGCACCAAGGATATTTTTAATCTACTGATGACCTTCTAAGTGCTCCGCGGTGAAGGAAAACATGATAATAATCGATAGGATTACGAAGATATATTATGAAGTCTTCCAAAACGCAATGGCGGAACATGTCCTAGTATCTTATCACATAGAATGTATTTGACCAACAGTGGGAATTGTAGAGTCCCAGTATATACGACCTCCCTTAGGAGAACTTTCTACCGTGAGAGGGTTAAGGTAATTAAATTTTTAAAACCATAAGTTTCATAATATGCCTAATTAAGGTTTAGGTACCTTTCAGTACAATTCCATTGTGTAAGGATGCCAGTACTACTGTCTTCAAAAGGAACTTAAATAATTAAACTAAAATCTTCAAAGCTAGAGAATACAGGTGTGCTCTTTTGTTTATTCATCTCCTATCATTAAATCACCTCTTACGATACGAGTGAAACTAGTCAGTGAAAATTATACGATCTAGCTCATTTTAATATGCCTATATAACAAGCAATAAGTTAATAAAGTTTTTTCGATATCTATCCGATGGATGTTTTAAAATCCTAACAAGCGTTTATTTTTTTTATTTTTAAAATCAGATATTTCAACCGAAGCAATACCAAAACTGTATAATTTAGAAAACCGCATATTGAAACTCGCACGCTGCATTTATTATATTTTTAAAAGCATTCATGAATGAGACGTTGTATATTCGGTATCATTAGCGACTGGTGACAAATCACGCGCTGTGGGTGGCCGCCATTTTGTACAGAATTTCACTTAGCGGGCTACCTTCCGCATAATTGTGCAGTAGGGATGTGGATGACGATTTTTCTCCAAATAATTAGAAGACACTTATTCAATGATGTACTGAAAATATAATTTATTTTCAATTTAATCCTTGACGTAAGTCAAATTTCTTCTTTACGCGTCGATGACAAATCATATCTTTCCGGTCCAGAACTTAGCCACTTCGACAGCACAATTTGTGGCATCCATGAAATCCTGCTGCGAACAAATGAAAGGTCAGTCAAGAATAATAATAATATTATTAGCACAGGATTAACATTATTTTGTTGAATGTAATCATTTATTATAGCGTACCTAGTACAAAAAAATCTAAAACATGCGTGGGAGTCCGCACAAGGTGCTCAAAAGAGGCAAAAGTCAAATAGGTCGGTTAAACAAATACAAAAATCAGATCGAATCGATCATTCGACGACCTTGCGTTAAAAAAGGCATTCATGAACCGTCATGTGTCAAAAAGTGCACAGCTCCTAACCTGCGCGCGGAACGGATTTGCACAAAAGTCATCTCGAGTACGCTGTGTGAGAATTTGAGTTGAGAATTGTAATTTTTTTTGGTTGGGACGTCATGAATGAACATTATAGCGTAATGACCGCGGTAAATAACCATTTGTATTGTTAAGTCAGCATTCTGTGCTCATTTTGGAAATAGGATGAGCACGATGTTATAAATTAATTGAGACATTGCGTAAACAGACGCACATATATTGAAACTGAAGTTTTATTTATAAAATAATACTTTGTAATTTATTGTTTGACAACAGTCAAAAATAATAATAATAAAACAGGTATTTTAACGATTTTATTATAACAGAAGTATAATGTGTCGTCAAAGCTGTTATAAATATAACAACAATTTCTGTTTGAATAAGCCACTTTGACTAATGAAATTATATAGCCTTACTGATTTTTGGTATAAAGTAAAATTATTTATAGTTTTGAATTTGATCCACTGAGAAAGTTTTAGTGTTGGCTTTTCTCATGTGGTAGGTCCATGTCTAGCTTTGTAATTTAACCGCATGTTCTCATCCCGTCTCATTTTACTATTAAACTCCATTAAAAACAAACCATTTATTATTATTATGTTGCTATTAGGAGGCTATTAAAATCCTGTTTATTTTGTATTACTGTTTACTCTCTGGATTTTCTGTCCACAAAGTTAATGCGTCGTGGACACAGTTGTTTCAGGTAGCCGCCGTGGAAAAAAACCTAAGCGTAGGCGTGAACCACCTGATCGAAATTCCCATGGATGGACACAATACGTAAGTAACCAACTTCGTTGCTACTAATTTATGGCCATGAGGCACTGACTGCACTTTGAGAATTCCGGTGACTAGGTAATTAAAGGTTAGATCAAAAATCCGGTATTAATTTCCATTACCACAGTTTGATTTTCGAGCTAACAAAAAACTTTTTTCGATAGAGAAAAGTTACTAATGAAATAATCAACACGCAGAATTATCTGCTCACTCACAGTTTTCGAGATGAAAATTAATTGAAACTTGTTATTTTCACTACGAAAGTCTGCCATTTTACTAAGTGGACTTCAAAAGCTCAATATACAGTACTGCCAATATGATAAATATAGGAAGCGGGCGATGTCGTACTCGTATCGATTATAAAACAATTTATTAATAGAAATTTAAAAAAAATTGTACGTACAGCCAACATGATAAATATAGGTAGCGAGTGACGTCATACTCGTATCGATTGCAAAATCGATAAATTTTTAAAAAAAATAATAGTCTCAGATCCGGCACAGAGCACCCCGACTCCATGTGGTCTTGTGGTCCCTACCCCTAGAGTGAACATAAAAAGGCGGAGCCAGAACCTCGCGCCGGAGGTCCTGGGGCGACGTAGCGAGTGTTCTGGCGAAGCACGTGGAAGAGTCAAATTTAATAATGAAATAATAATTTATTATTTCATTATTAAATTTGACTCTTCCACGGCCAGAAATATGAATATTTTTTTTTTTACATTAAACAAAACATTAAAATTTATGAAAGGTGAATATTTCGTATGTAAAAAGAAAAATCTTCGGAATTTTAATAAACCAATTAAAGAAAAATTCACTATTAATCTTAATCAGATAAGGCTTCTTGATATATAAAAATGCAATTACGAAAAACCTATCAATTTATGTTAAATAGACTTGAAATTAATTTATACTACTGATTACAAAGATTTTATAAAATTTGTAATCGAGTTCCGAAATCGATATTAGCATATTGGCTGTATTGATAATTGAGTACCTAATCATATATTAAATTTAAAAAGATAAGTATTTTCCGCTCTTTTCAATTTCCTATTTAATATTTGTATTTGTAATGGTGGATATTATGTGCGCGTCTACTAGCACTGAATTGTGTACGTATTGTAATTTATATTTTATTAAAATCTCAATCAGATCGTTCAGTATTTTTCAATTTTTTTGTGTCGACACCACGAGTGTTCTTGTAAAAAGTTTTGTTTGTTTAAAG